TGAAGTCCATCTCCCAGTCAGTAGGTTCAAGTCGCAAGTGCTCACCTCACGCTCTCAGCCCCGCCATCCGCTGGCGGACGGCTTGTTTTCCCAAAAAGGTTTTGCCAGTGCAGCCAAAGCGGAATCTAGGAACCTTCAATGCAGCAGGAGGTGTGGTAAAACGTTTCACCAAACGCTCGCGCAGGGCTGCTGGTCGCGCGCGCCTCATTGGGGAGGTGCGCAGGCGTCGCTCGCATTACGTGGTCTGCGCTGCGGTTCAGGCCTCCGCTTCGCATGGGTCGGGGGCAATGGGCAGCGGCGGGCGCGGCGCGAGCTCAAGGATGTTCGACTCCAGCAAACCAGCGTTCAAACGCATAAGCAGGTCCACCCATAACTTGAATGCTCCAGCTATCAGGGGTGTCGCGCATCGATCCAGCGTATCACCTCAATGTGACCCCTCTCCTCGCTATTGCCTCCGCCTTGTGGGGCGGGATGGTGCCTCGTGGGGTAGTGGTGCAGGGCCTGGCAAACACGCGGCAATTCCTATGAGAGCATGGCTTTCCTTTGCAAGGTATTCGTAGCCCCCTCACAGCTGCTGTGGCCGCGGCGATTCGGCTCGGCATCGACATGAACGGGCTTTCGTGGCAGCCATGCGTGGGCGATTTCTCGGTTGAAGATTTGCGCCCGCGGTCGGTCAAGAATGTCCTCGGAGCCGCGGTCGAAAGCTGGCCCTGGACCAGAGTCGCTGATCACCTCGAAGCTCCCGGGGTTGTGCAGGGCCCCTTCCTTGCGCCATTGAGAGCAGGCTTGGCCGAGCTCCAGGCGCACGAGCGAGCTTGTGTTCCAAGTCTTGTGCCTGGGGGGCGATGGCCCCAAGACAAGCAGTTTCAGCTAGGACACTCGCGTGAGCAAAATTGTCGCGTTTGTTCTTCTGGCCCAGGGGCCCTCGTGCATCGTCACTTCGGTTGTCCAGGGCTCCAGGACTTGCTCGAACTCGAGCAAGGGCCGCCAACGGGAGTAGGAGCGACGATGCAAGCCACTGGCAACCCTCTTGTTGGCCAGCTCCTCGAGAGGCTGCTTGCGCCGCGGCCTGCCCCTCCTCCTCCCTCTCCTCCTCCTCCTCCTCCTCCCGGAGAGTGTTGGCTCTATGGGGCGCCAAAGGAGCTTGGCGCAGAGTGCGTTGCCGATGGCAGCTTGCTAGACTGAGTTGCCCCCCGTGGCTCGCTCGCTCGGCTGGGCGATCGTCTCGCTGCAAGATGGCCCCATTCCCTCCCTGTCGAGCGTGCGAGGCGCGCGGTGGTCGCGTGCGGCCTCCCAGCAGATCTGCGTGATGTCGATGCGCGTGGGCTCTGGATTTGTTGATGGGCCTCTTGCAGGCGCTTCCCAAGGCACATTTCTGGACCGACTCCAGCTTGCGTGTGACATGGATTTTGGGGGCGAGGCGAAGTGTTTTGTTGTTCGGCGCAATCCGCGTGGGCGGACGTTTGGACGTTTGTGCGGCATGCCATCGAGGACAAAGGAGGCATTCAACAGTTGAAACTCTCGAAGCTCAAGGCGCATACCTCGCGCTCTGATCTACTCGCTGATCGTATCTCTGCTCGGGCCCAGGTCGGGAACCGCGTTGCCGATCAGTATGCCAAGCAAGCAGCTGAGTACACTAGGGTCTCTGCCTCGTATCGTGGGCGTTCCAGGAGGCAGTTCAAGGTTGTCAGTGCTCTCACTTGCTGGGTTGGCCTATGCGGACCCCCATGGCCGATCTTGATTGTGAGCACACTCCAGCGTCCAGGCGTGTGCTGAGGCCTCCGTCTGACGTGCCCCAGTTGCAGATAAGTCCTCCCCCACTTAGTTGAAAGTCGAGCCGATGTCGCGATCGCTGTCTTGAGGAGGGAGGGTCACGTCACGCCACCAACTGTGCCTTTCCCTTCGCTCTCGCGTGCGTGCGTGTGTGTGTGTGTGTGTGTGGTGTGTGTGTGTGTGTGTGTGTGTGTGTGTGTGTGCGTGTGCGTGTGCGCGTGCGCGTGCGCGTGCGCGTGCGCGTGCGCGTGCGCGTGCGCGTGCGCGTGCGCGTGTGCGTGTGCGTGTGCGCGTGCGCGTGCGCGTGCGCGTGCGCGTGCGCGTGCGCGTGCGCGTGCGCGTGCGCGTGCGCGTGCGCGTGCGCGTGCGCGTGCGCCGTGCTTGCCCGTGCCCTCAGCCTGGGGCACGCCGATGCCTGGCGCCCACGCGAGCTGGAGGGGCAACTGTCGCGGCGTGGGCCCAGATCGCCCCCTGGGAGAGCACCTCCTCCTCCTCCTCCTCCTCCTCCTCCTCCTCCTCCTCCTCCTCCTCCTCCTCCTCCTCCTCCTCCTCCTCCGGCTGGGTGCCGCCCACGGTCGGAGGTGGCAAACAAGTCGGGTGTTGGTGGTGGGTGCTTGTCCAGGGGTTTTGCTTTGGCTGGGGCTCGTGGGGATCTCATGCGCGCCTACTGCGTGCGGAGGAGGAGGACAGATAATATCAATCATACAAAGAGTAAGAATAATCAGAAGAAGAAGGAGGAGGAGGAGGAGGAGGAGGAGGGGGAGAGCATGGAAACAAGGAGGGGAAGACGTTTTCGGACACTGGAGGGACGGCCTGGGAGTCTCCCGATGGCCTCATGCTTTTGGGGGCCTCATGGGGCACTCTTGGGGGCGCTCCGAGGCCCTGTTGGGCCGGCTTGCGGGGCTTTCGGATGCTGTCCCCGGGGCCGCTCTGGGCCTTCTTGGTGCCCTCTTTGAGTGCATCAAGGCTGTCTTAGGGCCCTCTTGGGAGCCTCTTGTGCCATGGCTTCTCGGGGGCCTGGAAGCAGTGTTGTTGCATCTGGGGGCCGTTTCGGGACCTCTTGGTGCCTCTTTTGGGCCTCTTGGGGGCCTCTTGCGGCCTCGTTGGGGCCGCCTGGGGACCTCTTGGGCGCCTCTTGAGGGCCCCTTGGGGCTTCCTGGGATCTTCTGGGGGCCAAGTGCTCGAAATGTCCGTTCGGGTGCCCTGTCTGGGCCCCCTCTTGGGGCCGTCTTGGGGTCGCTTGGGCGGTCTTGAAGCTATTTTGGGCCGTTCTGAGGCTTCTTGGAGCCCTCTTGGGCATTCTTGGGGCGGTCTTGAAAGCTTTTGGGCCGTCCTGGAGCGTCGGGAAGCCGAACAGGCGAGAAAACCAACATCTTTCAAAAGCCAAACGGAAGTCATTCGATTTTGCCTCTTGATGCCCTCTTGGAGGCCTGGGGCGTCTTGGGAGCATCTTTGGCCGTCTGGCGGCCATCTTGGGCGTTTTCGACCGATCCTTCGACGACTCGGGGCCCTCTTCGGCCGTCTTTGGGGCCTCTTCTGGTCCTGTGGGCCCGTCTTGGGGCACTCCTTCGGCGCCACAAAAGCTCGGGCGACACACACCAAGAGGGCGCGAGAGGGCGCGGTACGCCCGGGAACGCTTGGGAAACTGGGAGTCCGGGCCCTTGAGAACCCCTTGAGAACTACAAGCCCTCTACCTCGCAGAGCTGCATGAGCTTTGGGGCACTCCACTACCTGCCGAAGGCACGGGGACGGAACTTGGAGACCATGGGCCTCTTGGGCGGTCGCAGACCCAAGCAGGCGAGAACCTCAAGATCCTTCAACGACGTCAGGACAAACAAACATGTGCTTTTGCCTCCTCGGTCTCTTCGTAAGGGCCTTTTGAAGCCCTCTCGTGCCGTCTTGGAGGTCTCTTAGGTCGTTTTGAGGCCGTCTTAGGCCTTTCTCGAGTGATCTTGGGCCATCTTAGGCCGTCTTGGTGTTATGTTGGTTGTTTTGGAAGCCATCTTGAAAGACATCTTCGCCGCCTGGAGGCGGACAAGAGCGCCCGAGAGCAAAATCAGGGGGCGGTCTCACATGGTCTTGTGCGATGTTCGAAATGCTGGGGATTGATCATGTTCTTTTCCATAACATCGATTTCGGCCAGCCCGATCCCATCAGACGACCTGGTGCGGCCCGATGCCTGCATGGCGTTGCTATGTATTCCGACGCGGTCGATCCGATCCGATGACGACTCCTTACTGGCGCGGCCCGATCCGACGCTCATTGATTTGTGATGGGCAGCGACGTGGAGGGACGGTGATGCGTCGTCGTTTCCACGTCGAGCCCCGGCATCCGATGCTTGCATTCTTCAGTACGGGGCCCCTGGAAGTCCGACCCTTTATCCTCGGCGCTGGCGTTCCATCCCGAAGTGTTTTCTCTGGCGCTCACGGGGGGCCCGGCGAAACGGCCAACGATTGGCCGTCGTGCTTCTGGTTCGCTGCGCGAGCACGTTTGGGTACGGTCCCCCCTGCGCCGGTCACCCCTAATTTCAGAGCGTGAATTCCCTGCCCCGCTTTCGCTTCCAGGCAAAACCAAGTCATACCACGCGCCTCCTGGTCAAGCGGCCTGACCAGTACAGGCCGTAGTTTGGCATCGCTTGGTATCTCTTGGAAGCGAGGGTGGTCAAAAGCGAGGTAGGTTTGTTTTCCCCTATAATTATCGTTTCCCGTCACCGAAGGACAGAGCAGCGACACCGCCCCCAGGGGTGCCATCCCCAGCGAGGAGCTCCACGATGCCTCCCCGAGCCGGGGATGGGGCGCGGCTCGAGCGGGGAGGGCGCACCTGGCGGACCCCCGCGGGTGCCTCCCTCCCCCTCCTCCTCCTCCTCCTCCTCCTCCTCCTCCTCGTCCTCCTCCTCCTCCTCCTCCTCCTCCTCCTCCTCCTCCTCCTCCTCCTCCTCCTCCTCCTCCTCCATGGTGTTGGTGGTGTTGCGTCAGCCTGCCGCGCTGGTCTGGCGCCAGCCGCCCGCCCAGCGAGGTGGGGCCTTGGAGCCGGACAGCTTCGCGGTCCGCAGGCCTCCCCCGCTGGCCTTTGGCGGCAGGGGTGGCGGAGGCTGGTGCGTCGGAGGGGCTCGAGTTGCACACTGTGATGTTCGGGCGACAAAGGAGCCAAGGGGCTCGGCACAGGAGCCAAGGAGCTCGGCGAAGCAGGTATGCTTATACGGATGCATGTAGATATAAGCACATGTACATATATATATATATATATATATATATATATTTATATATATATATATACATTTTGATTCCAGTAGTATTCTCATGAGTACTATTGTATACACATGTACAAATACCAGAGTGAGGTGGCCGAACGGTCATTCACTGTCCCTGGGCGCGTGGCTGAAGTGAGGTTCCGCGGTGCGGATTGTTGTTGCCTTGTTTGTTGTTTGTTGTTCGTTGTCGCCGTTCCACCCATGACCCACCAGCGATCCACCCGAGACCCACCCGAGACCCACTTGCGATCCACCTTGCGACCCACCCGCGACCCACCCGCGACCCATCCTGTGACCCGCCCGCGGCTCACCCGCGACCCACCCGCGACCTCACCCGCGACCCACACGCGAGCCACCCACATTGCTTTAACGAGAAAATCGGCGCTTGCGGCGGGCTCGCTATTGTTTTGACAAAGTCGGCGCCCAAGGCGGGCTTCAGAGCCTCGCAGACTTCCGACGTCCCCGCCGCCCCCTCACTCGTATCCGCTGATCCAGCTGAATGGCCTCTTGATCGGGAGTCGTAGCCTTCAGTCGTTCGAGCGGAACCCTCCCAGAACTGGTCGCCCAATGTTTTCCTCCTGATCGGGTGCCTTTATGCAGAGGGTTACCAGCTTGACACACAGCCTTGTTCCATGCTTGGCATTTCCTTACATCGGTGCCAATCAGACGGATCCTCTCCGTTTCTGAGGCAATTTGGGGGGAGGAGGAGGAGGAGGAGGAGGAGGAGGAGGAGGAGGCCCGTATCCACTTTCGCTCAAGCAATTCTGGCTCAAGGCTAAACGTTGTGAGGGATCGGGGGTCCAAGAACCAGCGATTCGGTTTGGCATTATCCGTCGCCGTCTCTCGAGCCGTGGCGGCCACCGCCAGTCATCCTTCTTTCTTTTTCCCAGCAGGCATGGCCGGGGGCGCGAACAGCCGGAGCCGCGGCGGAGACGGTCGCGGAGCAGCAGCAGCAGCAGCCGCGGCCACGCTCTCGATCTCGCGTGGCCGAGCGCAGAGCCGCAGCGCCGCAGCGTGGCACGCCCGAGAGGTTCTCATCAAACACAGGTCGAGTTCTCCTTTGGGCCACGATAAATAAGGAACGAAGCCCCTTTCATCCAAGGAATAACGCATAGGGAGCGATGAACAAATAATAAATAGCGCATAGGGAAGGATGAATAACGCATGCAAGCCTAAGGAACGACCAAGCCCCTTTTGAAAAGTAAGTGTTCCTTACTCAAGCCGCTCACTGTAGGGTTCTGAAATGTGTCTCCAGGGCCTTCTGGAATCAGGGTGTCCGTCCTGCGAGCCGGCTTCGCAGGGCCCACCGCCTGCTCAAGCAGTTCGTGGACGCGGATGTGCTGCGCCCCGCCATCGTTCTCAAGGGCCCAGGCGCTTGTTTCAAGGCCACCAGCGATGCACAGCGTGCTGCATCTCAGCGAGCTCCTCGCCGCGACCTGGCAGGAACTCTCGCGGGGTGGTCATTCTGCGCTCGCCAGACAGCTTCGACGAATGCGGGGAACACAGCGCAGGGCCAAACTTCGGAGTCCAATCGATCGCCGCATGGCTCTACACGGAGCCAGACTAGGTAGCCAAGTGGTCGTCGACCCCGAACAAAAACTGCGAGCTCTCAGTGGCGGACCAGAAATCGATCGACATCGACGCCGCCGGCAGCTACCTCGACGAACTCGTCCCGCCCGCCGGCTGCAGGAACCTCCCCTATTCTTTCCTCGATCGAGACAACGCGAACCAGGAGTCGACGGCCTTCCTTGCGCCGCATGGGCCGCTCACCTCTTTGGCGGCGCCTTGCTGACCACGGCGACCCGGCGGTGTTTGAAGAGGGCATCGGCATGCGTCCCGATCTGAAGATAGTCCGCGGCGTCTGCATCCCCGAGGGGAGGAGGAGGAGGAGGAGGAGGAGGAGGAGGAGGAGGAGGAGGAGGAGGAGGAGGGGGAGGAGGGAGGAGGAGGAGGAGGAGGAGGGGGAGGAGGGAGGAGGAGGAGGAGGAGGAGGAGGAGGAGGAGGAGGAGGAGAGGAGGAGGAGGAGGAGGGGAGGAGGAGGAGGAGGGGGGGGACTCGATCGAATACGAGGAGTTTGTATGCAGAGAGCCATTCCAGACGAGTCTGTTGGGACTCAGCAGCTGCGACTGCAAAATCGTGACAAGCGCGTGCGTCTGGGAACTCTCCACGGCCCTCCCGCCCTTCATCCACCTCTCCCGGCGGGGCTTCGTGAGCTCCAGGAACCGCGGCCTCAGCGTCCTCGAGCTAGACGCCGAGGCCAGAATCGCCTCCCTTCCGGAGTCCGCGCCCCGCCCCCCCCCGCTCTCCTCAGCTTTGACGTTGGTCACGCCTTCCCCTCCGTGGCCCACCGGTGGAATGTCCTTGTTCTTGACCGCGTTGGCCCCCCGCCTCCCCTCCGCTGGGTCTTCGGCCCCCTCTACTGCTCTGTCCGATGCGTTGTGGCCAGCTCCAGGAGGAAGTCGTCCATCTCTTTCTT